ACTCCTCTTGAAGCCAGTCAGGATTCCCTGCAGTTCCCATCCACCCTGGGATCCTCCAGAGCCTCAGGTCTTGCAATTCTGGAAATGCTGAAAGTCCTGTTTGTTCTACAGAAAGACCAGTTTGTGGGGACATTGTTCTGAAAAACAACCGTGCAAATGATACACCAGCTCAAGTACAGGCGGTTATCGGTGCTCATCTGATCCCATGTCTACATGCAGGCAGATTCCCTCTCTCTCCCTCCTTCCCTCCTTGTCTCTCTTCCTGAAAACCCAGTCCTGCTGCATCGTGTCTCATCTGTTCTCCTTTCTTCTGAGCAAGTCTACCGGGGAACACTCCTGTCTCAGAGGGCTTGAAATCCCAGCTAGTTGGCCAGCGTGAGCTTCTTGGAAACTCCCAGGGAGCATGTGTAACAGTACCAAGGAAAGGTGTTGATGGAGCATGGGTGGGCTCCTGTGAGAGACACTGAGAGAAGCAGAAGCAGATTGGCCGGGGCTGCACCGCAGGAGGCGCTACTGACAGAGGAAGGGGAGACTAAACACACCACAGGCAATCTCCAGCTTTTTGACAGTCTTGCCCGGGGCTCTCTGGAGGGAAAAACGAGGCTCCCTGAGCCAATCTGTCCTGCACACCTTCGGCTTCCTGCATTCTTACCCAGGAGGGACTGTGCATAATTTTGCTGGCCTTTTGTAGATGTCTGTGATAAACCTCCAGCTAGAGTGTTCAAAATCAAGTGTTTACAGCAACCTGCCAGACCTCTTTGGAAAGAGTTATTTTTATATATATATATATAATATACATATAATATATAATATTTTATATATATATATATGTTCTTCTCCTTATGCCCATTTTCTGAGCCTGGACTGTACTCTTATAATCTAGACCCTTTCCCAAGAAATCTTTGCCCTTTTTGCCATTCTGGACTAAAAAAATGTAGAAAGGGAAGAATTGCCATATGTCATTGTTCAGACAGAACCAGAAATAATGTTGACTTCAGAGCTGAACTTGGCCTCTATCAGAAGGGTTGCCTTTGTTTTCTCATTATTTAGGGGGTGGGGAAGGCATCACATGCTTTGAAATGCATTTTAATGAATGTTTATAAGGTCGTGGGGATCACATTGGTGGCTTTGTCTGCCCGATTATGAAATGGGACTCCGCCGGCACTGGTGCATGGAGATAAAGTCATTCCTTTCTAAAAGACACCAGGACACCGTCCCTCACTCCCCTTCCCCGCCCTACCACTGCCCGCACCTGTGAGGGCTGGGCCTCCTGGGGTCTAGTGTTGGTGTTGGCCCCTAACTAGCCGTGGGACCACAAGCAAATCACCACCCATTCTGTTTTCTGTAAAAAGTGAAGGTTGACGTGTGTTGTCTAGCAATCCTGCTAGCGGCTACTGATTCACTTATGGAAAAAAAAAAAAAAAAAAATTGTTCTCCCAGTGAGTGGGCAGGGTCACGTGTAGTACAAGGCCTGAAGGAAGTAGGGGCTGGCTGGGAGCTGGGACCCATAGCTTGCTGTACAGAGTCCACAGAGACTGGAAAACGGCACATAGGTAAAGCTGTTTAGAAGGGTCTGGAAGTTTGGTGGGGACCTGCCACCCCCAACGTGATGCTGAGAGGGGAAGTCATTCTGGGGTAGCAAGCTCTCTGCTGCACCTGATCTAGAAGGGTGGCCACAGGGTTCAGTCAAGCCCAACAGCCCAGCCAGGCTGACCTCGGTGATGGCAGCAGCCTGGGTCTAGGGGCGAAATTAACTCGTAGTAGATGTCAACACAGCCGCCTCCCCTCGGCTTGTTTAGGCTTAGCTGGGGATCCGGCCATCCGGCCGAGGTGCTTTAGGCAATCTGTTGAAAGCTCTCCCCGTGAAATCCGAAATGCAGAGCTGCAGCCTCTAGCAAAGTGGAGTCTCGTTTAGTCCATGGAGAAAGCAAAGCTGGGAAGAGGCTCCTGCCTGCCCCACCGCTGAGACTGCGGCGTCAACCAGCGCCCCCCATTGCACCCCCAGGGACAGCAAGGCCAGCCTGCCCGCCGACTAGGGAGCCTCCCAAAGCATTCAGGGAAGCTAGCACCAGCGGCGTCCGGCTGCAGGCTTGGCACAGCAAGGGTAGCACCTGCTCCAGCAGATGGTATCCACCAGCAGCACGGCAGCCCCCAGCACCTCGCAGGGGCATCCTGGGGTCCGCTGTGGGGTTGAGGGCCTGAAAAGTCAGGGGCACACACTCTCACTTCAGAGGGCTGGAGACCCTTTTCCTTCGCCAGTGGTTCCCAGTATTAACTTTAGCATCTGGTGGTCATGTCCCACCTTCCCCACCTCCTACCACCTTAGTCCCAACGGGATAATGGCAGACCAACAATTAAATGAAAGCCCTAGTATCTGCCAGGGAGTCCAGGCCAGTCCAACTCACAGCTCCTGCCCTCCCTCCCATCCCCCAAGCCCATCCTTCCCCCGCCTGGTCCTATGCAGACTTCACTGGCATTAAACTCTCCTTGAGTCCAAGACATCACGAACAGCGCCTTGGGCACGGCCATCGCCAGCTCAGACTCCAGGCAGGGGATCCCATGTAAAGCCCACACTGAGTCGTTCCTTACTGATCCATTTTAGACATTTCTGTTTTCACTATAATGGATTTGTTTTAAGTCTTTGGGAGAACGTAGAAGAGACCAAATCTCAGCCTGAAATGCAGTGACTTCTCTGTGGCCCATGATTGATTGAATGAACGGCCAGGAAAACACGAGGCAGAGCTCGCTGGGCGCTGAGTCATTTGTGTTCATTGGTCCATGGATTCATTCAGCTTCTGTTCACTGAGCACCTGCCGTGGACCAAATACCTAGTGAGCGCTCCTGGGTGGGAGAGTGGAGCAGATGACTGGAGAGGCCTCTTCCTGTGCCTACTCTACCTCACCCCCCAACCCCTTCCTGCCTGCCCGGTGGTAGTCAGGCCTCAGATGAATCTGGTGGCGGACCTGCCCCTCAAAGTGCCCTTGGCCGGGTGGTGGACATCTCACAAGGAAAGGCAGAGAAGTAGGCAAGTCCCCTCGCTAAGAGAGGGGGAGCCCTTTCTGCGGGGATGGGGCGGTCAGTGGGGGAGGATGGAGGCTGCGGGTCGGGGAACAGCTGAGTGACGGTGGCAGGCCCTGGGGCCCTCTAGCTGAGCCGCTCGGGGCAAGCCTTGCCCATCCCAGGGCCTCAGGGTCCCTCCCTGTCTTTAAAGGCCAGGGTTGCACTCCCAGAGCACTTCCAGATCTGCCCTCTGTAATGCCAGATACTAGTTAATGAGGGTCCACTAGGTGCCGTGGAATCCGTCCCGTTTCATGTAATAGTCCAAGCAGCATCATGAGGTGAGAACTAAAATGACGCTCATTTTACAAATGAAGAAACAGAACTCAAGAGATTCTTTGTGGAGGCCAATACGTAGTGGTTGCGTCTGCCTCGGGACCAGGGCCCTAGGCCATCCTGCCTGCACCCATGCTCTCAAGCTGGCAGTCCACTGAGAGCCAGCCAGGGAGCTGTAACAAACCTTGGGTTCCTGGGCCGCGGCCCGGAGGAGACTGAAGCAGTTCAGCTGTGGTAGGAGAGCCTGGGAATCTGGGGGTTTCTAAGTGCATCTGATGGGTGCCAAGGCTCCAGAAGTGCAGCCCGAGGGGATCTCTTTTGACGTTCACTCTGCTGTAAGAGTCATGACCACTGTCGTGCTAGTAGGTGGCCCTCACGCACGCCTTGACCCTCCAGTGAGGCAAACGTAAGGGGACGTCAGAGGATCCGCACCGGATGTCCCAGTAAGACTTCAAAGCTGGAAAGAGGTTTCTTCGTGCAAAAGTGCTTCAGGGGAAATGGATCTGGTAGAGCGCTGGCCTTTAGGAGATTTCCAAGCCCATCTCCTCCCACACATAATCCTGCACTCCACTCCCTTCCCCTTCACTGCAGGTCATGGTCATTTACAAGACAGCCACGGATGACTGTATGAAGCCTTGAAAGTGTAGGAAATACGGCATTAGTAACTTCTTTGATTTGTTCCCAAAGGCTAGGCTTTTATAAATGGCGGGCAGTTCCCCCAAGTGCAGATCACAGATCGGGGCCTTTTCCTGTTGTTTCCTATCTCCCCGACATGAGGATACATCTGCACAGAGGCATTGCTAAATTAGATAGCTTTATACTTTTTTGGTGGAGGAGTGTAAGTCATTCCATTAAAAACAAGCTTCTATAGAAAAATACAGAGAATAGAAAGTGAGTTTCCAGTCACCCCCAAAGGATGACTACTCCAAAGAGTTGCATATACTTTCTTCCAAGGTGTTTTTGTGCACTCATAGAAATGTGTGTGTATGTGCATGCACGTGTGTGTGTCTGTGTGTGTACAGATCAATGGAACCACGCTATAGTGACTGTTACGCAGTTGTGTTACGCTCCAAACAGTGTCTCTCAGACAGCTGCCCAAAAGAACACGCCAGATGTACTTCACTCCTCCAAAGCCTCTGCTTTATCCCATTTTCTCACTAGAGCCTGATGCATTTAACCAAGACAGGGAAGCAACCTGAAAGTTCAACGTCTACGTCACGCTTTTCCTTTTTAAGAATCAGGTTAGCAGTAGACAGGTGGGAATTGCAAGTTTCTTAGCGATTCTCCTTTGCCCTCCAATGTCTGCATAGTTCCGCTGAAAGCTCCTTTAAGTGGGCAGAGAATATCCTTCGCGTGACTTTCCGTAGTGTTTGGTGTAGAGACAGCATAATGCTTTATTTGAACTGTAACGCAACAGTCTAAATGAAAGACAGCAACAAAACAAGCATCGTGGTTCTAAAAATAGGCTGTATTGTATAGTTTTGACAACTCTTTCTAAGTCTTGAAACTGAGAGATCTGTTTTATCTCGCAAGTTTCCTGTTCAATAGCTTTAATGTGCCAAGCCTTTATAAACATTCCTCTGCCTCCCCCCTTCCCTCTCCCTCCCTCCCTCTCTCCCCCCTCCCTCCCTCCCTCCCTTCCTTCCCACCCCTCTTTTCTCTTCCAGCCACAGGGAACCATTAAGAGGAGGCAGGAAGGAGAAACTTTCCAGCTTTCAGGCATGGCCGAAGGAGGTTACCCTAATAAAATTAAGAGACCATGCCTTGAAGATGTCACCCTTTCGATGGGCCCTGGCGCCCATCCCAGCACAGCCTGTGCAGAGCTGCAGGTTCCTGCGTTACCCATGAACCCTGGCTCTGCAGCGATGGGAGCGGCTGGTCATTCATTACTTCTCGAAAATAACCCCATGAACGGCAGCGTAATGGGCTCACCGTTTGTGGTGCCACCAACTGCGGAAATGGGACTGAAAGGCCCCCCTCTTTCTTACTATGACAAGACCAACACTGTACCTGCTGTGGACCAGGAGCTTCAAGATCTGCTGGAGGAGCTAACAAAAATTCAAGAACCTTCTCCGAGTGAGCTCGACCTTGAAAAAATCCTGGGGAGCAAGCCGGAAGAACCGCTGGTCTTAGATCACCCCCCGGCAACCCTAGGCGTGACTCCCAAGCCTGCGGTTCAGATGCCACACTTGGAGAGCCTTGGTTCCAGCAAGGACTTCGCTTCAAGTTGCAGCCAGGGCCCTGGGGTGTCGCTTCAAATCCCGCCCTCCTCTGCGGGGATCAGCTACGTCATTCCCTCCACCAGTAAGCAGATGGTCTCCCCCAGTTCTTCAACAGCACAGGCCAAGAGCCAGGTCCAGGCGCCGCTCCCTGCGGCTGCCTTGCCACCGCTCCCAGTGCCTCAGTGGCATCACGCCCACCAGCTGAAGGTGCTGGCGGCCAGCAAGCAGGGCTGTAGTACGAAGCAGCAGGGCCCCGCTCCCAGTTGGTCTGGCCTGCCTCTTCCCGGCCTCTCCCCGCCTTACCGCCCGCTGCCCTCGCCACAGCCGCTGCAGCCGTTCAGCCCTCAGGGCCTCATGGTGTCCTGCATGTCATCGAGCAGCCTGCCGGCGAGTGCTCTGCAGGGCTCTCCCAATGCCTTATTGTCCAGCGTGGCGCCCAGCAGCAGCGCTGCCCTGGGGCCGGCCATGACCTATGCCCCCGAGAAGCTCCCCAGCCCCGCGCTCCAGCAGCAGCCGCAGTTCAGCCCGCAGACCTCCATCCTTGCCAACCTGGTGTCCTCCACCATCAAACAGCCTCAAGGGCACCTGATATCCACTCTGCCCACCAGCAACCCGGGGCCCTCCACTCCCTACCGCCCAGAGAAGCTGTCCAGCCCCGGGCTGCCGCAGCAGCCCTTCACCCCACAGTGCCCCCTGATCCGGAGCCTCACTCCCACCAGCAATCCGCTCGGCCCGCAGCAGCCCCAGCTGCCGCCGCCTCCGCCTCCGCCAGCCAGTGCCGTCCTCAAGCCCATGGCCACCAGCTCACCCAGAACCCTGAGCCTGATCATGCAGCAGGGGCTGGCCGCCCCCGGCCCGGGGGCCCCGGAGCCTTTTCCTTTCGGCCACACCAAGCCCTTGTCACATTTCATCTCTGAGCCGGGCCCCCCGAAGATGCCCTCGGTGCCCGCCGCGTCTCGGCAGCCTGCCCTGCTCCACTACCTGCAGCAGCCGACGCTGACGCCGGCCTCTTGTGCCACGGCCTCGTCCACGGCCACAGCCAGCCCGCAGCTGCAGCAGCAGCCGGACGCTGCTTCGTTCCTTCTGCAGCGCGCTCCGCGGCCGCTGGCCTCGGATTCCATGCCTTCTCTGCCCAGACAGGTAAGCCGCTCTCATCTCCGCTCGCGTCCCTTGGTTTTGGAAATAAGAACCACGTTTCATGGTATTGAGAGCCGCCTTTGGAGGCAGATCCAGGCTGTAGCCCTCTTTGAGAGTGGACTTCACTCTGGAAAAGTCTATTGAAGCCAACTTACTCTGCGCGGTCAAAGCGCAGTATTCACGAGGTCAAGGTTATGGTTTCAGTTCCTGTGCAGGTTGCTTAGCTTCCCTGGGAGAAGAGTTCACCCACAAGGTGCCGCCAGGGGAAGGAACCAGGGCAGACGAGTCAGAATCACACAGAACTGGGCCGTGAGGCACGTTCCCTCACCCAGGACCAGTGAAGCCTTCATAGGATGCAAGGAAATTGCACTGAAGCATTTAACTTTTCTCCCAGCTGGCATAAGGCTGCACACTGAGCCTTCTAGAAGTGTCACAGCAAACGTCTGCTGGGCAGCGGCAGCGTGCCATTCTCCCCTGCACCAGGTGCTGAGGCAGGTCCTAAATGAAACTGTCAGAGACGTGTCAGGTAGTCACTCTTACCATCCCCGTTTTACAGACGAAGTAACTGAGGTTCAGAGTGTTGAAATGACTCGCCCAGAGTCACACAGTTAGCGAGAGGCCCAGCAGCAACTTGAAGGCAGGCGGGCTTGCTCCAGAGCCCGTGCTCTTCTCAAAATCCCCATGATGTCTCTCTCACCTCCTACAGTCTTGTCAGTCACTCAGTTCAGCTACTTCTCCCTGGGCAGTGTCTGTCATAGTCCCCACTTTTCATTTGTTCTGACCCCTGCCTGTATTAGTCACCTATGGCCGCGTAACAAGTTAGCCCGTAACTACTGCTTAAAACAAGACACATATGTAACTTCACAGTTTCTGGGGGCTGGGAATCCTGGCACAGCTTAGCAGGGCCCTCTGGCCCCAGGTCTCTCACAAGGCTGCAGTCATCTTAAGGCTCAACTGGGAAGGACTGGCTTCCAAACTCACTGCTGTGGTTGTTGGCAGGAAGCAGTTCCTTGTGGGTTGTTGGACTGAGGTCTCAGTCCCTCATGAGCTGCTGGCCAGAGGCCTCCCTTGGTTCCTTGCCACGTGGACCTCTTCATAGAGCCTCTCACAACATGACAGCCAGCTTCATCAGAGCAAGCAAGAGAGAATGTGCCAGCAAGAGAGGCAGGGGGAGTGCCAGCAAGTCAGAAGTCACAGTCTGTATAACCTAGCCTGGGAAGTGACATTGCATCGCGTGTGCAGTATTCTGTTCATTAGACGCGAGCATGAAGATGTGAATAGCAGCAGGGGATTACAGGCTGGGGAGGGTACCAGAGATCCCTGGGAACCACGTCAGATGTCTCCCTGCCCCGAATACCGTCTTTCGTGCTTCCTCTTTTCCATTGCTCTCAGGCCTGCCCGAGTTCAGGCCCTCTTGATTCTTCGTCCGAACTCGTACAGTTGATTCTTAAACTGGTTGCTCCAACAAACCATCCGTTTCTCTGAGAATTACCTTGCTATGACACAGACCTGATCATGTTCACACTTGCTCGGAAGATTCTGGAGGCCCGTAAGCTGTGACTCCATCTACCTCCTTAGACTCAGTGTCCCTCGGGCCCCAAAGTGCTTGCAACTCCTGGCCCACTCTGCGTCCTTGGCCTTGACTCCCACTGTTGCCTGTGTCCGGCCTTCCCTGCCCACCTTTGCTCTCCTGTCCCACTCTTACAGGTCCTAAGGCTCAGTCAGTATCACCCCCCGCCCCCGGGAAGCTTTGCCCCAACTGTCCTCTGGACTTCCGTCTCCCACTCTACCTCCTTCTTCTGTAGAGAAGCCAAGGAGTAGGTGGCCATAAAGTGCGTGTCTGGGAATGTGGCCCAAGGGAAGCTCCCAGTGGGGGCTGACCTCTTTGCTGAGGGCCCTGGATGACCATGGCCGTGGCAGTCCCCAGAGGAGAGACACCGTGTCTTTTTCATCCAGGTCTCGTGAAGCATCACCAAGCAGAGTACTCCACGCCAGGGATCGGTCCTTCGATGGGAGCGCCCGTGGGGGTGGCCAGGGTGAGCGGCCGGCCCTTGTCCACAGTTCAGGAGCACTTTGGTTTGGTTTTGTTATAGGCCTGTTGCCAGCTGTTTTCGTGGACTTCTGCAGCTGGCTTGGGGGAGTGCCAGCTTCAGCACTGGAGCCCTTATCCTAGCAGGAAAGATCCTCAGCCCGGAGCCGTGTCACCATCTAACATTGTGAGCCTTTTTGGTTTCTTTTGTGTTCAGTGGGGAACATGTGTAGCCTGACTGTGTTGCTTCGGAGCCAGACCAGCTGGCTCACAGAGAGAAGCCTTAATGATTAGGGTCGTGAAAATCACACCCGACTGATTCCCTAGGTGGGGCTGGAGAAAGTGTCCGGGAGAAAGCGCATGCAGCCAAGCTCCCCAGGTCAGGAGGGGCTCAGGTGATCTCCGCCAACAGAGGCAAGAGGCTGGGCTCCCCGGTGGGATGCTCTTGCTGCCAAGAGCTGCTTTCCCGGCCAGCACTGGCCAGTGCCCAGGGGCTGAGTGTGCTACCTGGGACTTCACCTGCCTTTTCTTGTCTTAGTTCTCAGAGGTAGGGGCTGTTATCATTCTCTTTAAAGTTGAGAAGACTGAGACACAGAGAAGTCCCCAGAGTTGCCCACAGTCACACAGCAAGTCGGGGCCAGAGCAGGGAGTCCGGCTAGAGAGCCCACACTTGTAACCCCACGCACGGGGGCCTCCAGAGCCCTCTGTTCCTGCCTTGACCTCCTAACTGTTGCCTCTTCTACAAAGTGGGTGTGATGGTAGGTTGTTTGAGGATTCAGTGCGTCGAAAGTACTCCAAACAGAGCCTGGCGCCAAACCTGCCAACGAAAGCCTGACTCCTCGTCCTGAGTCTCCAGATCTGTTTCCTGGGGGCTAAGATGGTTCTCAAACCTGGGACTGTGTCAGGACAGAATATGAGCAGTGCTGTCTCCAGACCCCATGCCTGCCAGTGAGATGGACGGGAGTGGCGGGGCTCACTAGCTTCGTGGGCTCTTCTTGTCCCAGGCCCTGCCCCGCCTAGACCACCGCAGGCCCGCTGGGCGAGGGGAACGAGCCGCCTTGGTGCTTTCACGCTGGCTCCGCCCCGCTTCCCAGCACCCTGCTCTGTGCACGGCATTCTTTTAGCCAAAATGCACTGACGAGGCCTCCAAACGGGCACGTCAGCAGCTCTGCTGTTCCTTCCCATGGCCCTTCCGCATTCAGTTTAAGGCCTAAGAACCCAGCTCTGGTCACTTGGCCAGGAGAAGGTGGAAGAAAGGAAGAGGCGAGTGTTTGAGGCCCCCGTGGTGAGGAAGTACATGCTTCTTGCTCCCAGCAGGGAGAACTTGCCGTGTTTTACTGATGGCCAAGCTGAGCCTCGGGAAACACTCGTTACCCCCTGGATGGCGTTGACTAGCTCGTCGCACCTCCGTGGATGGTAGCGGTTACCACAGAAGGACTGGGCATTCATCTTAAACCAGAAATGCCAAGTCCAGCTGCCGCAAGGAGCTCATTCTTATGTTCAGACTAGCCTTTCTCAGCTTGGGGGATTTCACTTTACCAGTTACGTGAGCGATCCAATTTCAGTGACCCGCTTGCTTGCCCTGAAGGTAAAAGGTAAATGCCATCTGGCATCAGGACAGCAGTTCAGCATGGCAGGGGCGCCGGAGGCAGGCAGACTGGGGTTCAAGTCCGGTCACCAACTCTAAGTGGGCATTGTGCCAGGAGCAGTGTCACTTAAGCCCCCTGAGCCTCAGCTGTACCTGGGGAAAGGGATGGGCCCCGTCGCGTAGGGCCTCGAAAGACAGGAGATGCTGAACCGATACCGCTCAGACCCCTGCCCGGCCCACACTCCGCACCCAGGCACGGCAGGCGTGGGCTCCCGGACTTGGATCTGGAGCCCCTGGGGTCAGACGCGTTTCCAAATTCAGAACTTCGGGGACTTTAGAAAAGTAATACGGTGCATATAGCAAATATGACACAACCCTCCGGTGGAATCTGGGGCACATTTTATTATTTTTGCAGAGAAATATGAATATTTAACGAAGCCCATGTCGAGTTTTGTTCCCAAAGAAATTTTGGCACCAAATTTACAAAACTAAGATAGGCTTTCAGAGCTTTGGGGCTTGAAGTTACAGATAAGGGAGGTGGACCTAGAATTATTAAGGAAGGGACTATGGAGTTGTGACGCCCAGCCCTGGTGTGGTGACTTCCAAGGCCCCCAAATCTCCTCGCTGTATTCCCCACCCTACTCCCAAGGCTGCGTGACTCCTCTCTGTTTTTAATCGAAACGAGGCAAGATGAATTTTGTTTCCATAATTGAATGCCCCTTCTCGCTGGAGACCATTGAGGGTACCGTAGGGTATTGTGAACATCACGGTTAGGACTTCAATTTGACTATCAACCACTGGCTGAGGAACTGACATTTACTCAAAGACAGAAACAGTTCTGTCCAGGAGATGAGGCTTGGGCTCTGGAAGAGTCGGGGAAGCAAGAGGCAGCAAGGGCGCCCTGGGTGCACGTGCGATTGCAGAGCTGGGAGTGGAGCATGGCGGGGAGGAGGGACGAGGATGGTGGCCAGTTGGAATAAGAACAAAAAAGCCTGAAATCTGATCCTTGAGGCAGGCTGGGGGGGGGGGGGGGGGTGGGCAGCTGCAGAGAAATAGACCAGAGGCACGTGATATGGTTTGGAGAGATTTTGAGAGGGGCGAGAGAGGGGACCTGAGCCTGCCTCCGGGAAGGCTGGATGAGCCCTCGCCTGCGTCTGCCCCGTCTTCCGCCTTGAATGCCAGCCGCCCGTCTCCCATGCTTAGGCAGCAGTGAGCACCCAGCAATGGCGGAGGCGCGGGCTCATTAGGAGAACTTGCCATCCACCCTCCTGGAGGGCTGGGCCTAGGAGGGGGATCTGGGCACCTCGGCCTGAAGTGGGACCGTGAGGAAGCCCTCTTGTCACCCTCACCCGTGGGTGCCTCTTGTCCCTGGGAACTGAGCCTCTGAAGCGCAGCACCCCCAGCAGCCAGGGCCTGGAGGGAGACAGCACAGAGCCAGGGACAGCGGGGCCTTGGCCCTTGGTTCCTGGCAGGGTGCGGGCCCCGGGACTGGGCTTGAGGCTTGGATCACTGAGGTCCAAATCCCGGCTCTGCCACTGTTTCATTTGGCACGCTCCTTCCTCTCTCTGTGCCTCAGTCTCTCCATCTGCAAAATGGAGATACTAGTATACCTATCAAATGGGGCTGCTGAGAGGATTCAACGAGGTGAGGTAAAAGTGCCTGGCCCAGGGCCTGGCACACAATCACACTCCACCGATGTTAGCTCTACTGTTTCGAGAAAGCTCTTGAAACTCGGCACTCAGTGGAATGCGTTTAGACTGCCAGGCTCCTCTCCGGCTCCCAGTGTTGGTGGCTTGCAGAGGAGGGGCGGGGAAGTGCGCTCCAGCCGTGGGGTGTCAGGGAGGCCAAGTGGCGGACACAGACTGGTGACCCCCGAAAGGAGCAGAGCAGCCAGGCCCGGCTGCAGCTTCCCGAGCACCCTGGCCAGTGGGGAGGGGACGGTGCTGGCCATTCTCCCTCCAAGCACAGACGGCAGAGGAGCTGGGAGCCATGCAGGGGGCTGCACCATCCCGCGTGTGTGCTGAGTAACAAAGGGCAGTAACACATCCTGCCTGCATTCAGCTGGGCCCCAATCCCGCCGCTTGCAACAGGCCGAGGGCTGCCTGGGTTTCTAGATCCAGAGGGACTCCTGCTGATGGGCGGAGAGAAAGAATGAAGGGCAAGTGAGGGCCAGCCTTGCCAGCCACCCGGCGCCAACGCCGCCAGGAACACTGGTTCATCGTGGTCACTTGGTTTGGACTTCCGAGGTTGGACTCGACTGCTCGGTAGAGCAGAACCATGAATTACTGCTGTCTCGATTAACACTGCAAATTAAAATCTTCCCCTTCACACCGTGACCTCCCATTGAAAACCAAAATGATAAAACCAGGTTAGTTAGACCGAGAGAATTCCCTATTCTTGTCAAAGTTATGCCGGCTCCATTTTCCACTGGAGGAAGAGAGTCAGGAGAAATAGCAACGTGTGAGTCTGCTCCTAGCCTCAACATCGTTCATGACCCTTTAAAAGCAAGTGACCACTATCTTGCCAGAATACTAGACCCCCTTGGAGTCAGATGTACCACACATTGTCAAGGAAGGGCCTGTGACCTTGGACTTGAAAGTCCTTTCACCAGCTTCCCTTAATTCTTCTGCTGTTTTGAGGCTAAGAGGCAGGGCAGGGCGGCACTGCTCCCCGTGTAATGAGGAAAGTTTCTTCGCCTTTGTCTTTTACAAATTCTGGTGAGAAGCATCACAGATTTCATTTCAAAGGTTAGTACTGCTGAAGTGCAAGAGCAGAGGCCTCTGGGGGAAGCTCTGGGCTGAACTAAGGAAGAAGCGGGGCAGGAAAGTCAGATTTCAAAGAGCCCATGTGTCTGAGCTCCAGCCTCGCCTTGCACACGTCTTCTCTACCAGACATGAGGACATTTTCCTGAATAAGCATCTTTATTTTGTTTTTTGTTTTTATATTATTATTATTTTTAAAATTTATTTATTTATTCATTTTTGGCTGTGTTGGGTCTTAGTTGCGGCACGTGGGCTTCTCTCTAGTTGTGGCGCTCAGGCTCAGTAGTTGCGGTGCGTGGGTTTAGTTGCCCTGCGGCACGTGGGATCCCCAACCAGGGATCGAACCGGTGTCCCCTGCATTGCAAGATGGATCCTCAACCACTGGACCACGAAGGAAGTCCCTGAGCATCTTTATTTTGTATTTAAGCATGATTGTACATACAAGCTTAGTTTTTCCTTTCTTTTTTTAAATTGGGCAGCAAAGAACTATTTAATTTGGTGAAACATTTTTTAGCTGCTATGGGAGGAAATATAATCAGACAAAGCTTACAATAAGTCCCCTACATACTAACCTCCAAGTTGTGAGCTTTCAAAGATGCGCACGTGCCCCTGTATGCCAGCTGTTGTACTGGACTACAGTACTGTTCAACGTACTATACTGTAAGATTAAAAATGTTTTCTTGGGACTTGCCTGGTGGCACAGTGGTTAAGAACCCACCTGCCAGGACTTCCCCGGTGGTTCAGTGGTTAAGAATCTGCCTGCCAATGCGGGGGACATGGGTTTGAGCCCTAGTCCGGGAAGATCCCACATGCCACGGAGCAACTAAGCCCGTGTGC